TCACATTTGACTAATGTATGCTTTCATTCGTTGTGCTTTGCACTAATCTGGAAAATCTGACAAAAATAATGGCATTCGTTTTCTACCATTGCAAAACATAATTTGCTTGCAGCTTCAATATATCAGATGAAAATAATTTTGTAGGTAAAACAAACTGTAGGTCAGATGAATGTAAATTCCTGTTAGCTTAACTGTCCTGAGATTAAACAAAAAATGGAATTGAGAGTTGTTCAGATTACTGGCCTGTTCCTGAAAGGCTTCTTCAAATAAGCAGACTGATTTTCTTACCAGTGAGTGGGAAGCAGCATGGCCAGGAACCTACTTTATTGCCAGCACAAACGGAAGTAGGATGAATTCAATGTGTTCTTTCTGGCTCTTTCTTTGGGTAGCACTGGCTGCCAAAAACCTCTTGAGCATAATTTTGATTTGTTTCTATTCCTGCCAGCTCATGCCACAATTAACCCCATAAGTAAAAACTAATTCTAATTCAAGCTTTTAAAAAAAAGCATTGGAAAGAAGCAGAGATTGACCTGTTCTATAAATAGTTTCATTGTGGAGTTTTTGTAACACATAAAATTTTCCAATTGCTGCACAGTTATTAAAAGTTAAATGCTGCCTGCTGACTCGGTCTAACAGACAAGCATTGGCAAGCTGCCTTTTCATTGACCTCTGGATGAGGCCAGGCTGGTTTTCCCCGTGCCATGATGACCTGTCTGTGTGGCAAGTGTCACAGCCACTGAACAGCCCTTGGACTACTGATATGGCTGGTGGAAGAGGCCAGGATTTGCCCTTCCAGTCATTAAGTAGTAAATAATTTAACAGGAAGTTTCTGTATACACGCAGAATTGGCTGCATTCGCATGTAATGTTAAACCATATATGGTTTCTTACTTGGTTGAGGTTTCCAGACCATTGTGTGGTTTCTACCCTCCTCTCCCTCAATGGTAGCAAGTACCCTATCAGCCTCCATGGATGAAATTCAATCCCAGAGTGCACTGCCCTGCTCACTTCATCTGCTGCTTCCTCATTGGCCTACATTGTCTCATCAGCCAGCTGCTAGTTTGTTTTCCTACTCAGCCAACCAAAGCAGCCATTTACTAACTACGGTAGCATTTTGGCCTCTATGCTGCTGCTGCTGCTCTGTGCGCCAATATATAAGCATAGTCCCCCTGCCCTTCTCAAAGTATGCCCATGCTCCCTTGTGTGCAAGATTCTCACACGGTGCGATAGGGTACCTGCCGCTGCACTTGGGCATATAGAGGCCAGTGTGTGGGGGGGTGACCTCCAACAGCTCCCTGCACCCCACCTCAGTCCACATTGTCACACGTGGAGGTGGCTTGCCTTGGCACCCCACGTGTGAGCCCCTCAATCTGCCTCTCACCCCCCTCCACCCATCCTTACAGCCAGCCTTCCCCACAAGTTCCACTGCAACTGCTGTTGCAGAACATGTCTCCTGAAAAATCACGGGGCTCAGGTGCAGAGAGGGTGGCTGTGCCAGAGAGGGAAGGTGCCATGTGTTGATCTAGCAGCCTCTTCTGCTGCTGCCCTACAACTGCCCACATGCTATCCTCTATCCCCAGAGCTTCCCACCCATGCAGCCAGCCCCTGGAGGCAGTTGCCCCACTTCCACTATTCCTGTGCCTAGCGCTGCCTGCTCTTCGTCTGCACGGGCATCTGCCCACACATTTCTGTGCACAGCCTGCTTGCAGCAGTGCACTAGAAGCTTCGAGAGCTACTTGTGAGGCTGCAGGAGGGGGAAGCGGTGGGGCCATGGCCCCATCCACCATCCTCACATCTCTCATGACGGGAGCACATGGGCTATGTGCAGGGCATTGATTACAAGAGGCTCACTCCCAAAAGCCCATTCCTCCACTCCTATCTTGCCCCTGCCATCCTTCAGGACTATCAACAAACCGTGTTGCTGCCCTCTGAACACCCACCACTGCCAGGGTCCTGTGCTGCCACTTCTCTGCCAAAGTTTCGCTGGTGGAGCCTCCATCCTGGCATGGTTGGCAGCCTACTTCCCAGCAGGAGCCATCTTACCGTGCCCCTAAGGACTTCCTGCCACAAGTGAATGTGTGGAAGGCTGCTTTTCATTTAAGATTGTCATAATGTTACAAAGAGTTAAGCAAACTAATGGGCATGGCCTGGAGACCAAGGTGAAAATAAACATAGGTGCAGCCACAAAAGTAGCTGGCTGTAATCGTCATAGCTAAGAATCATTTGTTTTCTTCACCTCGGTTAAATACCCACATAATTTAGCATGACTGAGCAGTGCAATTAGTGAAGTATGCCTGGCCTATTGCAAGAACCCTGCCAAAACACACCTTTGAAGCTATTTTATGTTTATACTCCTTTAGTAACACCATCCAGAATTCAAATGGCAAACTAGTTGCCTGTCTGTTGAATTAAGAAAGCCATACATAGAATTACTGCTGCAGCCTTCCAAAACTGGGTGTACAAGGGAAGGAGCTGTTTTTTCTCTCTTGCGGCCTAGGTCAAAGAGATATAATTGTCCACAATTATTGAAAAATGTGCTTGTCGGCTGTGTAGGTGAAATGGCACTCTGTGTCACACATGTAAAGATGAAAAGAAAACAACTGGTTTCAATAGTACAGGAAATTCTGGACTGGACAGTGAATTTATCACAAGCTCTGCTCAAACCTCATAGTAGTGCACCCACTTTAATCTACCATTTGTTGTATTCTGGTGTACATATTTATTGAAAAGCTACATGGTCCTAAGGTTTCTTTCCTCACACATATTCCAAATGTATACATTTATTAGGCTATCTATCTATCTATCTATCTATCTATCTATATATGCTGGGTGGGAAGAAGTATCTGCAAATCATTCTGGGCAGGAAAAAAACTAATTTGAAACAAAAAGTTTCTGAAGAAGAGTTCAGAAATCCAACATTCAAGCAACAAAGAGTTCTCCTAAACACCAATATAAACTAATCTTCAATTACAAGTGCATTAAATCACGCACACTCTCATCAAATAGACAAATATATTAAAAAGTTAATTAGAAAACAAACATGAATGCATTTTAACTGTATAGGATCTTGACTTATGCTATTAAAATCATTATTATGAGGTCATGATAATTCTGATTTTCCTTTATATGGGGGACTCAGAAATTTTGATTATGAGTTAATATATTCATCACAAAAAGTTTTGCTCAAAATTATCTTTTGAGATAATTTCTTTGTTCTCTGTTTTGCTAGAACAACATAGAAGGCCAGTGTAAAAAAAGTTTCTGTTAAAAGTTTCAGCTACCACTTGTTATATTACATCCCCAGAGGAAGTAGAGATGAGAAAAGGAAATGTCTTCTTTTACTAGGGCTAGTAGAAAGTTAACTCCATCCTTATAAGCTTCTGTGAGGTTGTATGTGTGAATACACGTGAACATAGCAACTCCCTAGAGTCACCCTATACGACTCTTGGGGACACCAAGGCTGTGCACCTCTATGTAGAGCAGGGGTCTCAAACTCGCAGCCTGTGGGCCAATTGCCAGCACAGGGAGGGGCCCTGCGGCCTTCAAAGCGCCGGCGGCACCCGGGCCGGCCTCTGGGAGCGACGCGGGATGAGCGGCCCACCACCACCGCGGTGGTGGAATACTTGATGCAGCCCAGCCTCACCCAGACTCTACTTCCAGTGGCCCCCGGGTAAGTTGAGTTTGAGACCCCTGGTGTAGAGCTATGGTTGGGGATCAGGGAGTATATCCCATGCCTATCACACCACCTGAAGACAAAACTAGATGAAGTTATTCATGCTTTTAAAATAACATGCTTAAGCTAGTCCCTTTTATTTTAAAGAAAAGGCATCCACTGGCCTGGTTTCCACATAATTAGCGTGGATTGTTGGAACATGGGTGGTCATTCCTTGCAAATATTGCACTATGGGTTAACTATGAACAAAGACAACCCATGGCTTCTTAGGTTGTGAATACTGGATTGTTCAGTAAACCATAGTGCAGGGCTCATAAATAATGAGAACCCATTATTCAAACACAACCCATAAGTCAACAACCATCAACTGTGATCCCAATCTGCTTTCCCATGCCAGTTTTCTGCTGAGCTCCACCCCACACCCAACCCATCATTGCTGCAAACAACATGTTTGGGAGGAAAAGAGTCATGGAACGGAGCATTGCCATCAAGTAATGCCACAGGGACGGGTTCCATGGCTTTCTCTCAATAATCTAAATGGCCACTTAAGCATTTGATTCAGTGTTGACATGTGCATTTTAACCCATCCAAGAGGAAGAGCATCTAGATGGGAATCAGCATGCAACACCTTTTCTTCATAACAATAATATAGTGCTCTGATTCAGTACAAGATAGCTTCCTATGTTCTTAAACTGGTTTCTCTTTTCTTCCCACCTCTCCAAAATAATACATTCCTTTAACTATTTTGCAGATAATTCAATACACACTCCTTGTTAAGTGAGCTGTTTCTCCCATCCTGCAAATTAATGGAAATTATGGGTCACTTGTATGCTTCTACATCCACGTTGGAGAACGTCGGACTGTTTGTTTCTTAGAGCGAGAAACCTTAAACACTACAAGCGCTTGCATTTTCTCCCTGGAATGAGATCACTCGACTATGCTTGTGCTGGGGTGAAGTTGACTGCCGGAAACGGCCGTGGCTGCAGTGGGAGAAACTGAGCATTCTTTCCACGTCTGGGGCCCGTGCTTCCCAGCGCAGAAGTTTCGCGACACCACAAGCCTCCTTCCCTTCCTCTTTTCTCCTTCTTTCAAGTATTGTTTTGACTTTTTCTTTTTGCTTCCCGTTTCTGCCTCCAAAAAATTGGCCAGGTAAGGGCGCACGCCTTCGTTGCTCGCACTGAGCATGCCCAACACCCAGGAGCACGCTCAGTAGTCCTTGCGATGGAAGGCGGCGTGCTTGGGCACCGCAGCATCAGGAGCTTCCTGCGCTCGTCTTGCCGTGACATCAGCGGAGGCTCCGCCCCGTCCCGGCTCCCAGGAACGCCGGGGCGGAGCAGGAGCGGCAGCGGCAGCGGCGCAGCGCCCGGGCCGAGTCGGCATCAGCTGGGAGGGGAGTTCGGGGGCTGCGACGACAGCAGGTAAACCCGGGGGCAGCCGGCGGACCCGCGCCTTCGCCTCGCCTCTCGCCCCAGCCCCGCCGCGTGCGCGCGCCTGTCCTCCCTTCGGACTCCTCGCCTGGGGGTCGCTTTCCCAGCCCTCCGGCGCTCCCTCTCGCTTTTCCATCGCGGGTTTCTTTCACGTCACCCCCCTCCCTTTCGCCGCGTCTCGCCCTGTTGCTCGCCTCTTCCTCTGCCTTGATTTTTCTCCCCTGGCTTTCGATGGTAGCTGTTGATGGCGATGGGGTGTGTGAATCCCGATTTGACTTTGACAGATGGAGCTTGAGCTCCGCTAATGGTCTTTATCAATTTCTTTTAAAGAACGACATGGAAGTTTTCGTTTGGTGGAGTTGTTAGAGTCGCTGCACTTTGCAGAGACGCTTCCATAAATGCGCCGTAGAAAGATCCTCAAAAGCATCCATTAGTTGCCCCCGTGTCCGCGCGCGCGCGCGCCCGTACAAAATCGTTGCCTGTGTTAAAGTCTGTTTTCATCTATACGTTTCGAATGGATACGTGGAATTACCTCCGTCCCTGTCATTAGGGCACCGTGGGTGACAATTGATGCAGGTTAATTGTTTTCCTTTGCAAGAACTTTTTAAGCGCAGCAATTGTCTTCTGAACGAAGTGATTGTGGCTGGGAGAGGCTGCAGTACTTTGACCTGAAGAACGCGGTGAAGCTTTTCCGGTTCTGCGAAATACCTTTGCATCCTCCTCCAATTTACAGAGGTCATCTGGAAGGGAGAGCTATTCCAGGGCTGGTTCCTGAAGGGGAGGTGGAGAATAAAACTCCGGGTGGATGTTCCCTCCCCTTGAGTGAGGGCAGCTGCTGCTCAAGAAATTTTTGCAGGGGAGACTTTAAGCATCATCCTAAGGTAATGACTGTGCTGTATTTCTGCACACTCTGGCTTCTTACCTTGTCTGCCTCATTCATTAAATTAACATGCTGCCTGCTAACTAATTTAGGTGATGATTAGGGTGGAACATGAGTCTCTGGTGTTAATAGAAAAGTCCTAAAACCTTGCTATAATTTGTTTTAGTGAAAAGAGGGATGGAATAAGCAAAGAAAAAAGGAAGTGCTCTGGGATTTGTTGAGGGGAAAAGTTAGAGGTTCTTATCAGGATGGTTATGAGCACATTCCACTTCTCAAAACAGGAAGAGATGTGGCAGAAAGGTCTTTGCTTTCTTAGCTGATGCATGTACCTCTGCTTAATACAGTTTACAGGAGGATACAGTTTGCCTGCCACAATGAAAAGGAAAAGGACCATGGCACCTTGAGGACTGTTGCTTCTGTTTTGTACCAAGTGGCACAAGTTTTTATAGGCATGGGCATATTGTGTGAGGGGCTTGAAATACACTGGGGCGGGGAGGCTTGGAGGATGTTCTGGGTGCTGTTTTGCCCTTCTGCAAAGAACCTACAGCTGAGCTTGGGCATTGCTGCCAGAGAGGGGTTTATGATCTAGATGTTAAAAGAGTGTGCCTATTTCCTTGTAGCGGGACTGTTGAACCTCAGGGTAGTGGACCAAATCTGCCCTGCCTGTGGTCAACATTCATCTCTTTGGAGCTTCCCAAATGTCCATGGCACCAGTGCCTAGCTGCTGATTGTTGAGCATTTTTCTGGCTTTCACACAGTGCTCCCACACACGCTCTTTCAAGGCTGCTGTTTATTTTTAATTACCAACAAGAACAGTTACACTGCATACTAGGATTTGGTATTTTATTCCTGCTCCTTCTACTTCTTTTCTCACTAGCCATTAGACTGCAGCGTACGTGAGGCCCCCCCTGAGTTTGAACTCCTCTCTCAGGCTGAAAGAGACCCAATACCCAGCCTGTGGGAAAGTTTGTGCTTGGTGAGCTCAGCCCCCACTCCCACATGTTCATTTTCTCTGCAGAATGCCTCTGCTCTCAAGTAGATTGTGTACATGCTTTTTCTCTCAGTGTACTTCAAGGGAAATACCAATGGAAATTAAATTGTGAGTTTGAGCACACCTTGCAGTCACCTCAGGTATGTCAACAAACCATAGATTATACAGTGAGTGGCAAACAACAGACTAGAATAGCAGTAGAGTTGGAAGGGCCATATAAAGTCATTGTCCTACCAACCTGGCAGTTTCAAAGCATACAAATGCGAGTAAATAGGTACCACTTTCTTGGGAAGGTAACAGCATTCCGTGTGCCTCAGTATTTAGTCATGCCAGCCATATGACCACGGAAACAGTCTGCAAATGGTGGCTCCCTTGGCTAAGAAACGGAAATGAGCATCACCCCCTAGAGTTGGACACAAGTAGCCTTACTGTCATGGGGAAACCTTAACGTGTAAAGCCATAGTGTCCAGCCCCATGCTCTACTTCCACATGTAGTCACCCATCCAGCTGCAGGCCCAGGCCTTTCCCTCTTAGCAAACTTGGCTCAACATACTAGCTCAGTGTATAGCAGTGTGGGCAGAAAAACCACCGCCACAGATGGGACTCGAGCTCCGTTCCCTGGCTTACGAGGGCAGTGCCTGATCATTAGGCCATTGGGGCTGACACAAGAACAGAACTTAGAGAAGCTCTTACTTCACCAAATGCCTGATGAGCTGAGTTTCACAATGTAACAGGATGTGTCATTTTTAGCTGCTTCTCCAAGACAATTGAAACTTATGCTTTAACCCAGCTTTAACAAGGTGAGAGCTGATAGGTCGGAAGAACTCAAATGACCCAAACCTGATAAGATGTGAAATGTGAATATACTTTTAATCTGGATTTATAGAGAAAACAGTGATGGTTATCTAGGAATCTAGAGAAATTCTCTTCTGTGGAATTAGCCATTTAGTATTTGCAATAGCTGCTAAAATTAAAGTCCAGTTTACAATGATCCTTGCTTTAAATTTGTGTATGGGTGTAGACAAAAGCCATGTCTGAAACTTCTGAACAGTGTCAATAAATGCAGATATGCCTCCTGACTTTTCTGCAATTTTTAAAGAATTGTTAAAGCTTTAATTTTAATTATTACTATTTGTTTTGGGTAGAATTATGGAAGCAGACTTAACTGTAAGTGCTCAATCCTGTGCGTTTTAGGAGTTTGAGCTCTCAGCATCCCCCACCAATTTATCTATCTTGTGAGAGTTTATACTGAATGAACACACCTGACACCTCTTAGCAGGAACACCCTCCCCAGGGTACGTAGGTGCAAACGGTTTCTTGGTTTAACTGCTTTCACTGTTTTGCTGGGAGACAAAATAACTTAAAAATACATTAATAGAGCTGGATAAAATGCTGTTGGTTAGGAAATGAAATACATGTAAATAATTAACATACTGTTTCTAAACTGAAACAATTAGATTTCAGAGTTTACACAAGTTCTCAGGGAGGGAATTATACAGGGCTTCTTCAGAATAAGGTCATTTCCCTACACAGCTTTTAAACCATTAAGTTGTACAATATCCTGTGAATCTGGTCTGAAGTCCAGGAGAGTACAAAGGTTGCAAATAGTGTCTAGGTTTCTTGTGCTTTAATTATCACTCATTAACAGGGAAATGAAAGTTATCTTTCTCTATACTAGTTTCAGTAACAAAAGTCTGCAAAACCAAAGAATGCTATAATTTGTTGAAGGCGGTTATTTTAATATCCTTTAAATTGTTTCCTTCCTTGCAGCAAATTCATTTTCTGGGGAATGATAAGAACAAAACATACTGATTTTAAATAGCACAGTGTTAGTGTCTCGATTGGGAGAAGACACACTGGAAGAGAGACCTTCATTTTCTATAAACAAACTCAATTTATCCTAGTGGGGAAAACGTTTGTTAAAAAAAAGTGTAGAGACAGAGACCGGATAATCCCACTTACTGCATATGGCAGGAAGGGAAGCAAAACAGATAAATTCCACTTGCATGTTGGCAGTGGAGACCATGCACTGACCAAGTTACTTGAAGAAAGTTGTTGCAACTTCTTTATCAAGTAAAGTTATTGTTGAACAATCACTAGCCCATTGTTGATTGTCTAAGGCCCAGTCAGGCAAAGCAGAAACAGTGTAAAAGTTCAAGAACAAAAATGGTATAAATCATGATTCTTTTTATGCCAAGCTAAAGAGAGAGTCCTGAAACATACTTTTAGTAAAAATTTAACATTAAATCATATTCTCAGGGACACCACTAGTTTCTATTTCCTACAATGGATTCTTGGAGAGTGGTGGTGTGTGTGTACGCACACATTAACTACTAAGTTTCAGTGATCATTGAGAAAAGCTACTCTGGCCTAGTAGTACTTACAAGAAGCAATAGAATCAGTTGCTATTGACTAATAACATAGGTAATCTTACCTAAACTGAGATATTAAACATCACACAAGGAGAGAAGCAAGGAAAGCAGCTAGGGATGTCTTGCGTGGGTGTATCCATAACATGAAAGAAATCTGAAGGTAAGAACACAACAGAAGGGGGAAAAATGCTTATTGAAATCTGTTTTATAGGTGCTGTTTAAAAGACACTAATGCCTGTATCAGGAGGCATTGACACTGCACTGAGCAGCCAGATGAAATTAGGTTCTATTAATTTGAGTATTGAAGCACCTGATACCAGGTAGCAGCAGCTGAAACTTGTCAATTATTAGCAACATAGTAGCAGGAAATTGTCTGCTCTACTCATTGGGGCTCTCCATTGCTCCGGTTAGTCATAGGTGTTTCCATTTGTAATCAAGATCTTTCAGGGTGAGGCTTAATTGAAAGCCTGCTGCCTTTGTGTAAGGCTGTTTAGTGAAACATGGAAGTGACTGATTTTGGCTGACTCCTGATAGTGCCGGCTGCCAAATCCAGGCCCTGAGCTTGTGCTTTAAAAGTAGTAGAGAAAGTAGACCTTCATCAGGTGTACTATTCTCCAAAGGTGCTGTCCCAAGAAGGCTTCTGCCTCGTGTAAGTGCCTTTTTATTTTTATATGCACATTTCTATTCTTTTGTTATCCAGCTAGTGTGATAATGCTGCAATGTTTGGTGAGATGAAGGATGAAATTGT